GTTGTTCAGTTTTCTTGGCTTTTCTGCATTATGTTGCTGCAGGTGATCTTTCTGGCCATCAAGAATAAGGTGAGAGTGGGATTCTCTTTCCAGAATCACCGTGGCCTAAACATATGTCCTTTGATAAGTCACAGCCCCTTCTTGCTCTTTCTGTACAGCAGCTTTTTCTCCTGAATGGCTTAATGATTATCTTGCAGAGGTACTCTGAGGTTTAGTTTAATGTCTTTGCTCTCCAGCTACAAAGTTGTACAGCATCGCACATTAGATTCTTATTAGATTAAGAATTTATGCAAATGATGCTTAAGAATAACTCTTCCCTGGTATGCTCCTTTAATTTTGTCTGAAGCATTAAATTACACTTATATGGTGAACATCAATTAAAGCCTCCACCTGGATAAATCATTGAAGCTAACCTCCTGCTTAGGAAAACGAACATTCTTTATAAATACAACATTCTGTGTTAGGAAAGTTTTTTCTGAAGTGCACCACGTGTTTCTGTACCCCGTTTTCAGAGCAAACTTAGACATGTAAGTCAGAGACTTCACTCAGAGTCATTGAGAGAAGCTTCACCAGGCACTCATAAATTCCAGAACAGTTCTGTCCTTAGACTGCTCTTCTTCCCCTTTGCAGCAGACAAGCTGGCTAATTACTGTGTGGGAAAAACTTGGTCTTGATCCTCACCCACACCCTTGTTAGTGCAGAGAATGGATCAGCTTGTTAGCCAACAGCACATCAAATGCCAGCATCTTGATGGATTGCACTGTTGGTCTTTGCACTTCGGTCTTTAGAGTATGGATAATCTCTCTTATTAAAAGTGCTCAGACTTTAATGGGAGTCTCAAATTGTGTGAGCCAGATCATCTGCTGTGCTTGATCTGTGCCAGGCTGCATAAGGAAATGCTTTTTCAAGCTGCTTCCCTTAGAGGTACAAGGCTGCAAATGGTGTTGTACCAGCTGTGTCCCCAGTTCTGAGTAACACCTGCAGTGCATATACCCAAATTGCCTGCATAAGCCCTTAATAGCAATGGTAACAGCTGCTCTGACTTCTCTCAGAGGTTTCTGGATAGATCTCCTGCACAGATCGTGCAAACAGGGTTAGTGTTCAAACTAGTATATTTGCTTAATAACAAGTGCATAAATGTGATGCACGAAATATAGTCATGTGGAAAATGGTTATTAGCCTGGAGCATGAAGGATGGAGACAAAAGGTGGATAATCGAAATGAGGTTTCTCATATATTGAAACAAAATGTTTAAATTATTATGTATGAAAAGGCTTTGTGTTGATTTCAATGCATTTCTGAGACTTTAAATGCACTGAATGTTCATCGGGGTCAGTTGAGACATTAGTCAGAGCAACCAGGAAAGTCTGATTCCAACATAAATCTGACCAGGAGATGGCAGCCTTGATGCATGCAGGAAATATCCAGTAACTAAAACGTTTCTTCCAGAACCGACAGAGAAGAAACTACCTTCATTTAATGGGAAGATAGAATGTCTTAGCAATACCTAGATAAATGCTAACAAAATAATCCTGTTTTAGCTTTTGTCTCCTAACTGGCCATTGCCAGGTAGTGAATTACAAATGTGCTTAGATTTCAGTCTGAATACTTGAGTCATCAGTTCAATGTGTAATGCTTTCAGACAATGATTTTGGATTTTTGTATTTTTGTGGTTTTTTGTTGTTTTTCAGAGTTATCTGTAGTATTAAAAGGCTGGGCAGATAATAGATGCTAATGTTGTCACTTCTATATATATGTTGTGTAAACTAATAACTGGAATTTACAGCTGGAAGCAAAGCTGTTTTCTTCAAGCTTGAATCTAAAAATCCTTCAGCTTTTTTCTTTTTTCCCTTCCTGCCCATGCAGTTTGCTGATGTGTGCACTGGCTTGGGAAGTAGACTGAAAACTGGAGCACTGTATTGTAAGACCTGGTAAATAGGGAAGGAGTTCATAGGGAAGTACTCATTTTTCGTCTGAGCTAGGATCTTGATTCTGTGTTTCTGCTCCATTCAGCAGATTGGATGAGAGCCTGGCTTCTAAGTTTGCTGGAGGAATGAGCTTGGCCCTATTCATAGGATGCTGTTGTCAGAAGCCTTAATGTAAGCTGAAGTACCCAGGGGCCCAGTTTTCTACCCCCACTGTTCCTATCTACACAGATGTCTGATAGAAAGTTAATTAACTCATCCCTGAAAGCAGTAGGAAGTTAGCAGGAATGCCCAGAGTGTGTCAGGTTGTACTGTTCCAATCTGTGAAGGCACAGGCTGTGTGTGTGTGAACAGTTGGGAGTTTAAAAAGAAAATTCTCCCTGGAATCTGAGTGATTAGGGGGTGAATGGGCTCCCACTGTGAGAGGCCGTGTTGCTGTTTGTTTTCCACGTTTCTGTTTCTGCTGTCCAGCATGTGTCTGTTTCTAGCCCTGCTCCTGGTAGCCTCTGTCTCCTTGTGGGCCCTTCCAGGAGTGCTTCTGTGCAGCACTGAGCAGTACTGTCACTGTAGCCAGCAGCCCTGGCTGCCACCAGCACCTGCTGTTGGAACTGACCCGAGGTGTGGGCAGCTATGGGCTGGGGAGAGCTGCCCTTGTGCACCTGAATTATGAGCACCTGCATCATCTACTGTGGATTACAGCCGAGTGAAACTTAGCTCCCTCACTCATCTTATCCTTTTATACTTATGGTAATGTGCAGAGCAACTTATTTAGCTAGCAGCTGATGCAGGTAAAAGCAGACATGTGGAGATATACTGTGGAGCAGTCATGCAATATATCTTTCATCCTTGCTCACGCAGGGGCAATTTGCTTACAGTGTTCAGGTATCTGGATACTTAAATAGGTATTCTCTCAGTGCAGTGTTATCTTAGGGGAGCTTTAGCTAAGAAAGCAAACTGTAGCAATGTGCATTGCTTGTGTTCTTCTAACTTCTTCAGCGCTGCCTGGAAGGCACTGAAGTGACTCAGATCTGAGTGTAATGGAATAGAGTTTTTTTGCATCTGTCTGTCCTGATCTGTCACTTTCTTTTACCTCCTGGCCTGAACACATGTGTGAAATTAGTTTTGCATACTTCTGAACTTCTACATACCTTCTGAAGACCAGTGTTGACTAACATCAAAAGGCTGCTTGAATCGTTATTGGTAGTAGGGTACGCTTGTAGAAACAAATAAGGTGGCACACTGTAAGTTCAGGTGCATGCTGAAAATGTCACCCTTCAGCCTGATGTTAGCAGTTGCAGCTTCTGGCTTTTCTAGTGAAGAAGTGCCCTATGGAGCCAACCTGACAGCCTGGATGACACGAGCCTTTATTTCCTTTCATAACAGCACAACGTAATCGCTGTTTTTGTTCTTGTGCAGCCAGAGATTCCCTTCTAAGCTCAAATTCAAATCGGAGAAACATCAAAGTTAAATTGAAACGCAAGGCTCCCCAAGTAGTCCGGGGGAAATGGAGACATCACTTTGTAGCTACCTCTCTCCTGCCAAAACTGCAGCACCCCAGATGTCAGAAAGCCATGCTGTGTTCTCTGCCTGCTCTTGGTCGACTCGATTGTTTTCATCCAAGCCTTTTTAAAGTTTTTCTCCTGCCTACACTTCTTTTTTTTTTTTTTTTTTTAAGGAGTAAAAAGCTAATATAAGGACATGAAGTGTTATGAAGCATGAAGTTCTATAAATATTTATGCTGAACTATCAAAGAACTTGACAGTTCTTATTTTCCTGACATATTGGGGTCACTTGTTATTTTTGACCCTGAGAATTGAGGAGCACCGTAGTTATATCTGTTTGTAATGACTTCTGGATATTGTCTGGTAAACTTCTAGGAATATAAAGGGATAACAGAGTTTTTCTGAGTCTCTTTGTGTAACTGTAACTTAAACTTTACACTGTGTTACTCACAAGTGATCATTCAAGTTACTGTAGCACTTCTATATCTGTACAGTGTGGCAGGATGTTTCTGCAGCTTGTGTGGGTTGAAGTGAGTGGCTTGGTTTGCCATTGCACACCTGCAGATTTCTCCTAGGTGACCCTTAATTTTAAGCACTCAGTGATCACCTTCCCTTCTCTGAGCCAAATCTAGCACAGCAAGTTGCTGACCCCATGTGGGATGGGACTGATGAGGTGTAAGGCCTGGTGAAGGGCTGCAGTTTCTGTGGTGTTTGGCCACCAATCCCAGCACTGTTTGAAGCAATCTCTGCTATCAGAGGAAAACAGCAGCTCTTCCTAAAGGGTTGTGTGCTGGTAACCAAGCATTTTTCTAAAGATGAAGCTTGTAACTTTTTGGCATCTCAGTATCTTCATTTCAGAAAATTATGTTCACACAACCTTAACTCTAGCCTGAAATCATAGCAGTGAATGCTTAAATATTGTGCCTAATGTTCTCAGTAAAGCTGAGAGCTAGTTAGGTTATGTTATATTATTATGCAGAAACTAGTTTTGTTATTACACCCAGCAAAATGTGCCTTCCTCCCCTAGTTAATTGCACAGAAAGAATGAGTCCAATGCTTCACTTTGAATGTAACCCAGTGCTTGTTCTGTGTTCAGCCTTGAACATGTTGTGTGCATCTGTTACCAACTGGAGAGTCTCTCGCTGTCAGTCACTAGGGGGCACAGTGGAACTATCGAGGACGTTTGGTTAAGTCCCAAATCTCTAGAGGAGGCCTGTGAAAGCTGGGGAGAACTTCCTGTGCCTGCTGAAAGGCTGGGAAATTCAAACTGTGGATTTTATCGGTGACTTTCTTCATCTTCATCTACTTCTGTCTTGGAATTTAAAATCTGAAGTGTTATTTCCAAGGGTACTTACACTTTTCTGTTCATACAATGTTTCTTCAGGAAGTGTATAGCTTTGAGAACAAATGCATCAGCTCCTTATGAGCAGCTTTTAAGTTCAACTCATAATTACAAAAAACACTTCTCAGTTTCTCAGGTTTCTGTACTGGGAACAAACTCCAGACGTATCTGTGAAAGAGAGAAAGAGGCAGCAGAAGAAATTGCTGTCTGAACATTATTGTTCTTTTGCAGGTTGCGTGTCTCATACGGGTTCCATCTGAAGTTGTCAAGCAAAGGGCCCAGGTTTCACCTTCTGCTGGAACCTTTCGGATTCTTTCCCACACGTTGTACCATGAGGTGAGTTCAGAGACACATCTCTAGGGAGTTGCTTCGTTCTTCTCGCTGATGCTATACGTGTACAGGAGGATTTCTTCAATTTTACTCCAGTGAAGTGCTCTCCTGGTATTTTTCCATCAATTCTTTTGTTGGTAAAAGAGGTAGACGGCATATGTGAGGAAACCTGACTTCCACCTTCCCCCCATGTGTGTGCACTTAAGCATGCACACTTTGAACAACTTCTTTTTTTTATATTGGGTGCCTATGTAAGAGGCAAGGGGAGGTAAGAAGAGAGGAGGAAGGGGCAAAAAAGCATCCTCAAACTCTATTTGGATGTATATAAATGGTCCTTGTCTGGGACAGCAGGACATCAAGTCTGTGTATTTAGAGTCTTGGATGTAGAATAGACTTTGGGAGGGTGTTCTAGAGGCACTATTTCAGAGAGGCTCCTTAGGAGAAATGAGTATTCCTTCCAGCATTGATAACTTAAAAAATAATGTGTATATATATTAAAAAAAGATTTTGTCATCTTTTCAGTAGTTATTCTGTTTATTGTGTAAAAAACTATTCACCACTGTTCTTAATGAGTCTCAAAAGGGGCATTTTTCAAGTTGTATTCCATAAGAAAATGGCTTCTGAAAATACATTATACAAATTTCCATGTAGAAAAACCAGGAAAAGGAAGACATAAATATGACTCTTTAATGGTCCATTTGTTGTTTTAGTTGCTTTTAAATGAAAACTGTTGTGATAGCCCTGCACGAGAGGATCCCTGGAGCTTTATTCTGTGATTTGGTCATTCTGTTCTAGAAGGTGGTGCTCTCCAAATTGTGTTCTTTTCCCTGTCTTTGCTGCTGACCAAAGAACTGCAAGACTTGGAAAAAATGCACAAGGAATTGTCCTATAAGATATTAATTGTGCATGTACTTTTCAAGTGATTTTTCATTGTTTTTTGTTCCCAGCTGGTTAAAAATGCAAAGTATTTGTCTTGGTAAAATCAAAGGCAAGGAGATGGATATAAGTTGTCATCTTAAGTTGTCATCAGGCTACTGCAGTGGAAGAGGAGTAGCTTCAAAATGTGTGAGATAATGGATACTTGCCTAACATTAGGCAGGTAGAGTTTGATGTAATGTTACTGTGCTATCCTGCACTTCTAGTTTTAACTGTAGGGTATATTTTCTTCTCTATCACTGATTATTCTGGACAGTGCCCTTTGAAATGAGCATAAAACCCACCAGCACTGTAAGTGAGAGAATACAGTATACATAAATATGTTATAATCAATACAGTCAATTTGTACGAAGCTCAGGTCTGACACCTGATAAGGCTGCAATACTTGCTTTGTAATCACCAGTAAATTGTGGTCTCTGGCAAACTAATTCTCTCTAGCTGATGCTTTCTTTTGTTGGTTTACAGGGTATTCAAGGACTTTATCGAGGTTATAAAAGCACGGTATTAAGAGAGGTAAATACACTTGTCTTTTTTAAGCATTGATTCCTTTGCCTTGCTTTTTTGTTTACTAACAAAAAGTAATAGCAGTACAATTGAGTTCAGTTGCTCTAACCATAAGCTGTAAGTATAGCATATTTCATTCTAGGTGAGTTACCAGCCTCTAATTTAAATAGACTCTGATAATGTGCAATAGAAGGACCTATGATACACACATCTACTCTCCTGTCACTTGCTTCTGTTCCTGCTCAATTGTTACAGTGTGGAAATGTATATGTTAATGTGATGAAAACCATAAAGTACTGGAAACTTCCTTGAATCTTGTGATTGCATTTTGTGAAGTATGAATGCCAAGAATGGTGAACTGGTGGTGTGAAGCCAAGTTTGGCACAGACAGATTTAGACTTTCTTTAAATGTCTTTGCCAGTGGGTGCCAAGAGATTTTGTCATCTCTATAGAGGAAGGATTGTGCACACTCTTTTTCCTCTGCCCTCCAAATGTGTGAAAGAAATGCCATTAGTCATCCAGTCTGTGGATATGATGTGGTATTACTTAACTCAAAGTCAGGAGTACTTCTCTGTTGGCAAAAAAAAAAAAAAAAAAAAGCTAAAAATATGTTGGCATTCTTGACAGAAAATAGTTTCTAAACTTCAAGTCTCTTCATAAATGTACTACCCATTGCAGGCTTAGTGTTGTGCAAGTGTTTGATACCTTATGTGAACTGAAGAGACTAATTACAAAAGAAGTGGAAAAGTTCACTTGTAGCATTTCGTTGCCCTGGTTTGGGCACACTGAATTTGATGTGTGGGCAGAGGCTCTGATCCTGCTGTTGTTGGTTGTGTGCCCTCGTGGCTTCAGTTGTGAATTTAGCTTTTGTTGGTGCTTTCTCATGTATCTGGAACTGTGGCAACTGAGGTCTCCCCACAGGAGTCTCCATGCAGGCTGATGGCATTTGCTTCTCTGACTTCAGACATTGAATATGGGCATCTGAGTGACTTCTTAACAACTCTTGTTTATCACATCTTATTACCCCTTATGATTTCCTTGCAACTTTGTTTTGGGTTTGTTTGTTTTTATATAAAACGTTTCCTAACAGTAACATTTCTATAAAATATACATGGTCTTTTCTGGGCTGTTTCATATTAGTCAGTGTGCAACGATTTCTTTTGTCCACTGACGTACACCAGTGCATCCAGAACTGCTTAGAAAATGGTATCTCAGGAGGTCATCTCTTGACAAAGTAGAAGTTGCACCTTGAGTGCTCTTAAATAAAGAGACAAGGTGTTCTGCTTTTGAAAACATAGCAGCTGCTTCTCATAAAGTGTTCTTTACTTACTGTGCTCAGTGTGAAATGTGGAGATTTGTTCTCTTCTTATATAACTCAACCGAATAAATCAGATTTGGATTATTTTTTCTATTTTCCAGACCTGTTGGCTCTGTTACATTGATCACAAAGCTAACTGCAGGGGCTTTTAAGCCTGTATTCGGTAGCTCTACTTTAAAAAGCCTTTCTTCGTACTGAAAACTGTTTTTAGGCCAGATCTTGTTGCAATGCAGCATAAAGATGGATATTGCCTAAAATAAGAAATCCCACATTTAGTGTTTGCTAAAGTGCTGAGAAATGACAATGCACTGCAGTTTATTTGAGCACTTCTGAGTGTTTCAGAAATTAGTTATTTTTGCAGAAATGACACCTGCTTTTGTGAGATGCAACCCCCACCACAGCTTCATCCTGTACTTATTTTCTGGCTCACTAAACATGTGTTGTTCACTCCGATTTCAGTTGAAGATGGGCAAAGAAAAGGCCAGCGAGTCATCTTGATTTCTCTGAGGAGTTCTGAATAAATGAATAAATTTGGATGCCATTGAATACAGATTTTGCATACTAACAGGTAGATAAAACACATGGTTACAACTGGGTACTATTCTCCTTAAAATTTGTTTTGACATATGTCAGGGTGGTAATTAATTTGCAGATCATATTCATGGCACAGTGTGTGACCCTGCAGAGATAACTTTGTTTTCTCAAAACGGCAGCACTTTGTTGGAAATTGAATGGGGTCCTCTCCATTACGTCTGTTCATAAAAGATCCTTCAGAACTGATTTGTGTTGAAGTATTGCTTTTTGGGTAAATCTGTCCAATGGAATGAGAAATAAATGATTACCAAGTGAAATGTGCTTTCTTTTCAAAATGAAACAAATTGTAAGTGATATTTTTAAAAATAAAATGAAATACAGCCTTTGAATTTAACACCCTGTTAAGACCATCGCATTTTTAGACACAAAATATTGTAAAGCAATATCCAGTAAGAACTGAGTACTGAACTTTCAGCTTGAAATAATGTAAGCCCCATGTTTAATCTTGATATATTTCCCCTCCATTTTAATACACTTCTTTCTTTAAGGAAAGGCTCTATTTTCAGATAAACATCTATATTCATTATTGGACTCATCCTGGTAGCTGCACAGCATATGGAGACTCAGCTGAATTTTATGCTTATAGATTTCATTGGTACGTTTAGGTTCTTTACTTAGGTAGACCCCTTTGTTTAGTTCCAGTGGAGTGCAGTTTTGGTTAGAAGGATTTCAGTGCACAGCTCTTCATTTATAAAAAAGTAATAGAAGCAGCTGTGGGTGCTGATGCTTTGAAAACAGTGAGCTGCTTGCACTGACAAAGTTACTGAGCCAGATTTTAAGAAAGGTTTAATTGGTGCATCAGGGTAAGGTTTTGCATCTTGCATAAAGCAGGTCTCAGTGCCCGGACAAAGATCTGTTTGCCAGCTGCTTGGAAATGAGTCTCATTGTTTATAAAGGGAATGCAATCTTGAAATCTCTCCTTTTTTTCCATAGTATTTGTAGATCTTTTCAAGACAGACTTACTCTGTTCTAGGTAACTTGCATTAGCTGTTGTGCTGCTTCTCTTCTGGTGTGGTAGTTGTTTCCTCATTTGATTTTTTTTTTTTTTTCATTTATGTCTCCTCCTTCTCATCAGGCAACTTTCTGTGCAGACAGATAGTAAAAAAGATAAAAGATAGCTAAATATATATATATACTTCCAAATAGCATATTTGGGTATAGCTTTGTTTGAGTTAACCTCTGTGGAGAACAAAGCATGAGTGCGTGCTTGGAAGTTTTGGCCGTGCCTTTTTCACCTACTCTGAACTACCAGCCCTAAAATCTAAGTGGGATCAAGGCATGGAGTGTCATTCTGTTTGCAGTAGTAGCCTTAAAGACGCACCCATCCTCTATGAGGAGATTTTTTGTGACAAAGCACAATATGCCAGGACGGTTATTAAGTGCCTGGCTAAGACTCTGAATAAATGGTAGAAATTGGAGGCTGTGAAAAGATGTGGAATTCTCATGATGTCATTTCCAAAGCAAATCAAAGTGAAAATCGTCCTTTCCTGTGGACAAAGTGTACCAGCATGCACTGGTGTGGAAACTGAATCATGCTACCAAGAGCAGGCAAAGAACAGGTAAAAAAGGTATTCGTGTTTTCAACAAGAGAAAGTTGGTTTGCAAAATCTTCTGCCATCTTATAATGAGACAGGAGTAGTGGTAAATGCACTGTAAATCCTCTAGAATTTCTTAATGGGGATGTATTTCTGCTGCTGAGATCTTATATAAGCAAATGGAGCCAGATTTTTAATTCCTGCATAATTCATTTTATTAACTATGACCAAGTAGAACATCTGTTAAAATTCCATAATGTTCAGTTCATGGGAAAAAGACAGAAACCCATGAGTTCTCTTTGGAGTTTTTCCATTTCCATTAATGTTACAGGACTCTAACAGATGTCTTAAAGGATGTTATTATGAATGAGAAGACAACACAAGAGAAAATGAAATGCCTTGTCCAGTTTCCCCATGCGCAGTAGCTTGTTGGGCACTGAGTTACTTTACTCCTTACTTATCTGTATGTTCAGCTTTGTGCAAGCAGTGCCACAGTGAAACAGTGTCTCTTCTGCTGTGGTACTGTGGAAGTGTTTGGGAGAACTGAGTGGCTGTTTTGTGTGGCTTTAATTTCTCACTTCCAAAGACAGGGCAGATGGGCAGAGCCCGAGCCCAAAAGAAGACTGGGAAGGAGTTAAAATGCATACCAAATTATTTCTTTATAGACAGAGGAAGTGGAGGACTGAATCTTTAGAAGGCACTGATGACTTGAAAAGAGGAACTTGAAGGAAAATCACTGATAAACAAACAAAAAAATCTCCTCTTAAATGACTTGCCTCTCACTTTCTCCCAGGTAGCATCTGGAACAGCTGGAAGCAAAATGAGCCTTAAAGATGCACCTGCTCCATTTCCCGATGTTTCAAGTTCTGATGAACACAGGATGCTGAGGGGGTTCCATATAAAAATATGGAACCCAGCTGAGATATATTTAAACATTGTTGACCAAGCCAGAGAGGGAGGCTTTGAGGACTGAGCTCAATAGAGAACAGTCTGCAAACAGGGATCCTAGTTTGTTTATCCACTAGAGGTAGTTCTGCATGCTTTTCTTCTGTTAGAATGTCTTTGTATGAATATTCCTGTTCTCTTAGCTGTTAATTTGTTTTTTTTTTTTTTTTTTTTTAAAGTCGATCTCTGTTGCTGTAGGACATAAAGAATGTTATTAAGATGTTCTTTTTCTTGCACAATTGAATCTTTGATCTTCTATCATTCTCTGTATTATAGAGCAGATGTCGACAGAAATAGGCAAACAGGGCACTATCTTAATACAATATTTGGAAAAAGAAACATCCTCTCTAATGAAATATGTGCACTATCTGCCTTCTGTTACCTTCTGAAAAACTGGGCTGGCTTTACTTTGTTTTGTGGTTCTGGAGATTTGCCAAGACACCTTGCCAGGCAGGATCCATAAGCCTGGGCTTTTGACTTCTGCTGGGCAACCGGCGTTTCTTAGGCTTCAGTGTTTCCGTACAAAGCAGCAGCCATGGAAGGGGTGGCAACTATAACAACTGATTAAGTAGCTAGTCCCTGCTTTGTGGAAAACCATGCAGAAGTTGTGTGAGATG